GATATAATTTGAGAAACCTAAATGGAAGAATTGTGTAATTTTGTAGTGAAATAGGAGGGTAACAAATCAGAGGACTACCAATGTTATCCGAATAAATCGCCATAATGAAATCTTTAGATGATTACGACTCAGGAGAGACACACACACACATGAAGGAAAGGTAACTGTGCATATGAGCCACTATGCCTCTCCGTGCACTTAAGTCAGTTGAAAGTCGATATTTTGATTTGCTAGGTGACTGTCTTTGTCTACCACCCTTTCTGCATGCAGTTGCCTATATCTTCGTCTTCTTTCTCTCTGTCTATTTCCAACTGTCTGTCTGTCTATCTGCCCGTCTGTCTGCCTGCCTCTTCGCCTTTCTGAAGTATGTGTGTCTCCTTCTGTTTGTCTGCCAGTCCGTCCGTTTTCATGCTCTGTCTGCCTGCCTGCCACTTATTCAGTTTGTCTCTCCCGCTCTATTTGTCATTTGCTTTGTCCATTTTCATTGTCATGACTGGAAAACGACTCACTCGATTAGCCGCGCTCGGATCGAGGCGGTTTTGACGAGCAAAATCCAACATCCAATTGTTGAACATCTCATCCGGGCTTTCATTTGACTGCCCGGTTGAAATAAGTTTGAAAGCTGGAAGAGATAATTAATTCATCGCTATAAAGTCAATCGCGCAGAATTTTCATTACCGTAATCCGCATTCTCATCCTGCACTGTACCAATTATGATTGGAATTCGTGGACGGCGTGCGGCAAGGTTCTCAATGGTGTCAGGCAAAAATGTATCATCGCGCACAATCATCCAAGAAGCCGTTGTTGTCTGAACCGTGAAATACTAGTGAGTCATAGTGCAAAATTTAATTAGGAAATACTTGCACACCTAAACAGGTGCGAGACCGACATCGTGTTCTACGTATCTCCCAAGTGAGCTCATCACTGAGGGACTATTGAAAAAATAATTCATACCGGACTGACGGAGAGGGCCTGGGTGCCATCTAAAAGATCCCTATCTGACCCAACCAACTCAATTGTTTCCAGAGGATCCCGTCCATTCTTCCTTAGCGTGCCAAAACTCTTGGAAATTTTTACGGTAGGTCAAGGTCATGATTACCAGAAGACGGAGTACATTCGAATACTTTTCATTTTAAGGTAGCATATTATTTACTTAATCGAGTAAATCGATCTTAACGCAAGTTTCTTATTTTTTATTGAATGTATTCCTAAGGAGCGATAGACAATGAGGAAGAGTAAGCCTTCTGTCCTTCCATGTTTGTAAACTGTTCCCGGGCCGATTCGAGATCATAGGACGTAACATCCTCTGTTTTGACTAAACCCCCAAACCATTATATTGCGTAATGCAAGTGTTCCAATGATGTTACGATTTATATTCAGAAAAAGTCAAGTGCGTGATTGCATTCCAGAACGTCAAACATTTTTTTGTACTTCAAACGAAACGAACTCAAACGAAAGGCAGAAAACTTACGGTCATCATCAGCCAGATAAAGTAACGATTTGTCACGATCTTCGTTTCCAATCGCTCCTTACTACTGCTCCCTCTACCGACTTCAACCTACTTTTATTTAGTTGTATCAGTGGTTAGGCTATACCATTCCAGTAGCTCTCGCACAAATTTACTATAATTCGACCTTACCATTGATAAAAGTGTGAAAATATGGCAGGAAGATTGGAAGCAGTTCGCTGAACCACTATTTCTATTTGATTTTTTTACATCGCTTGTGCTCCATTAGGTATGGAGTTGATTACTCCACTAATCCTGCTTGTGTAGTCAACTAGTGGGTATTTCTCAGCCAAACTTTCAGGGGACAATGAGCCTGCTTCTGACCTCCAAACCCACTACAGAATTCAGCCGTGTGAGTGCTATCATGAACCAGTAGGCACGAAATCCAGAGAGAGCTTAGGCCATATTAAGAGGAAGCGTTCCAATTTTTCCTGAAAAAAAACTCACCCCTTCAGTTTTCACGAAAACATCAATGGTGTAATTGTGCAGACAATTCCGCAAGTTGCCCACATCGCCTCGTTGCCACTGAGAGGGCGAAATGTTACACAGCTGTAAAATCAGCTATTTAGAAGTACATGGTTCCGGAAAATCTGCTAGATATACCTGTTGTGCAAGCTGTTGACTTGGGTCGGACATGTCGTACATCACATTACCGGCATTATAGGCACTGTTGGGATCGTTGTACATGGTATTTTGATTTGGCGAGAACTGCTGCTGATAGCCATTATTTCCCTGGTTACCGTAGACTGACGGACCCTGGGTGTATGGTGCTCCGGCATCGTACTGTAGTACTGGTATCTGTGTGGTTTGCGGTGATACGGTCATTGCCAAATCGGGTGAGTAGCAACTTTGAAGAGGTCCACTTTGTATTATTGCTTGATTGAAAAGATCTGGAAATAAATAATTTAGTAACAATAAATAATTGTCGTTAATAAATTTTTAATAATTAATCTAATAATAATAATAATTTGATAATAAATGACGAATAGTAATTTTCCGATGTGACTGTGAACAAAACACTGAGAGTGTGGGACCACGTCACAAAATCGTACAGCTTCCCCATAGTGCATACCTTGTGATCGAAGAACGAAGTGGGGGAACAAAGGGAGAGGAAGGGGCTTCCGGGAAGCTTTTGGGAAGCGCACAGAGCATGAAGCTTTCACCCGCATGCTTGACGCCACCTCTGCCATCGGAAATGCTTCCCATTACTTGGGAAAACCCTTTTCGCATCGGTCTGGCTCAGAACCTATCATAGTTCCCCTTTCTTTTCAAAAACTCAGCACAAAATTCTATTGTGATGAATACAATACTCTAATGACTTACTCTGGCTCAAAGGACTTAGTGTATGGGCACATACTGCACAACCACCGTCTCCTTGTCCCGCTAGCGTGATTCGATTCGGATCGCCACCGAAGTTAACAATTTCTGTTCTTACCCATCGAAGCGCTTGAACCTGAAAGAGAGGGTTTAGAAAACAGTCTGAGGTACTGAGCATATGACAGGAAGTTGTGGGGCTATGACGACTGAAGGATTGAAGCATAAACAACAAAAAGGAAAGAGCTTCAATTGCCAAACGAGACAGGAAATAGACAGGAAGGAAAGACAGGAAAAGGAAGGCGATCATCGGGAAGAGCAAAGACGGTATTTAACATTGTGATCAAAACCCACTTGGTCCAGCATCCCGATGTTAGGTTGAAAATCGGCAGTGTACGTGGTGAAGAATCCTAAAATCCGAAATAACCCTCCGATCTCAAGGCTCAAGCACAGTTCCCTGCGAGGCATCATTTAAGGTTCATTACGGTCACATACAGACATCGTTCCTACAAGATGACTACCTGGAGCAAGTAGTCAACCATCGCAATCTGCACAGCAATATAATAAATCCGATCAACAAGGCGAAGTCACAACCCTCCGAATCCAAGAAATCATGCAAAACCGCGCGGGTGTATTTTCGAGGCGTAGCCCAGGCAGACTTCTCTTATCTAGAAGGCTTGTCTTTGTCTGACACGGAAGATCGCTGCAAGTTCCTTTGTCAGTCAAGGAAAAATCTCCTAAAATTTGTTCGGTTCCATCAACGATTTGTNGTATATCTCATGAACCCTATGCTGCTAGCCCTATCAGTACAGGACCATACATATTCGTGGGGATATGAGGGAGAGCGAAGTGACTCACCCAGTGCACCTAGTCGGTACTGAATTGTGACAACAACGACACCTCGTGATACAAGGTTTCGTACCATTCCTTTCTGAGTGCTCTCATCCCAGCCACCTTGGCCAAAACCGTTTGACCCATCGATAAACACCATAACGGCGGCGGCGGCCGACTGATTCCCTGCCTGCAAAGACGTGCATCACTGACAGCCACAGAAATTCGGATACGATGTTGATTGGAGGCATAGCGCGCAAATGGAGCAGTGCCTAGAAGTGTGTCATTATATAAAAATTCCAAAGCTGTCCAGACCAACTAAACAATTATTTTCCCGGAGTATGCTAAATGGAACCAGATTTGTCTGGAGGAGAAAAGTGCTAAGATGTATGGTTACCCTGGATCGTCAAAGCTTAAAAGTTATGCATTTCAGTCTCTAACGAACAAGTCTTTCGAAAATCTTAGTCTCCTTTTACTAAGAAATGATATATTTACTTAACTTGGTAAAGCGAGGCTCCGTGAGGAAGCGAGCAAAAGAGCCTTCCCTCAGCCAATTAAAATTGTTTTCATGCAATTCCTTACCTTCTGTGTGAAGACATTCAGGTATAAACAATCCTCGTTCATATCGCCTACACCATTTGCTTGTGGACATTTCGGTCGATATCTTGTCGCATCATAGACTGTGTTGTACGGATTCGCTTGACGTGGCGCCTATAAGCCTTAACAGTAAGCCACCCACTGCCAAAAAGCAAAGTCAACATCTGGTCATTGTTTGCAGGATCGAGACACACAGATTCCTTAAATATCAAAAAGCGAATCGAGATTCATGAGCAAAGAAGACGAAAACGGTGGCTTGGACTCAGTCCTTATACATCCAGTGGTGGTACGCACTATATGTACGTGGTAGTAAGCGCTATTCCCACCTAGTAAGAGTCTTTGAAGTGATCCTAAGCCATAAAAAGGACAGGTATGAGTGGGAATTACCGCATACTACAAAAAATATTGAAATATTCTAAAGCAGGAGTGCCGAACTTGATGTTTCCCACTGCCACTTCCTTATCCCCTTACCCTGAGCCCATTGCTGTTAATCCTTACCTCTAACTTGATGCCATCACTGAAGCCACCTAAGTCGTAACAGATTAGAGCTGAATATTAGATGCCTAGGTTACTACAGCACAGTAGAAATAGAAAGCAGATCGAAGGTGACCCACTCGAAATCGTAAATCTCCAACTGGAGGCTGAGCATACGGTATGCCAAGAAAAACGTCCGCTTGCCCATAATACAGTTGGTCCTTGTCGTTACCTGAATACCAATAAATTATCAACCTGAATTGTACTGCAACCTCATAAACTGACAAGGAAAAGTCTGAAAATATTAAGCCCAGCACCGATAGACGTGGGAAAAGGCATGGGACGGCCGATGATCCATGCAGCATGGCACCTTTCCCACTAGATCAGCTGTGCCCTTGTCTCTATGTTTGGGCTTGACAAAGAACACTCAACATTAGCACTACGAATCTGATGGCAACTTACCGTAATCTACCGTACGCCCTTGAACTACACCGTACGACGTCGGTACACTAACGTAACGTTGCCCATAAGTTGTCGTAACAAAAGATAGAATTACTTGTAACAACATTCCAATGAGTTCTGAAAGTAGGCTTTTCTTTGGACACAAAACTGCAATGTTTAAATCTAAAAAAACATATTCGGAATTCAAATTATTCGCGTCACGAGCATTAGATCTATCAGTACTAAAGGTGTGCAAGTAAAAGGATTCAGTCCATGTCTAAAAGGATCAGAAGTTGACGTACAATGAGGTCAATTTATGAAGCATAGCTCTAGCTTGGGGTTAATGAGACTCTTGGAAGCCGAAGGCTATCAAAACTGCTATCAGAGAATAAAGAAATTTCATTTATCATAATTGGAGTCTAGCGGAAGTGATGTGAGGGTAGGACCTTCTGCTACCGTAAGTATGGTCTGGGAATCTGATATATGGAAAACCTTTCGAAAGTAACTGTGACAAGTGATGAGTACGTGAACCGCGCAATGATGGAGCAAGTCAGGTAGTGGCATGGAGGTGGTGATCTCCGAACGATAGATGAGTAACTGGGTGTCAACGGCAGCAGCATAACTCAAACAATGCGGCCAGGTCGCAATTCGTTGTTTGCCATCTTTCACTACGAAAAAACCGCCCTCATACCGACGATGATACCGAGGTAGGTGTGAGGTGTTGCTGTGACTCAGGCATACCTATACGAAGATCGCAAATCAGCTTCAACGCATCCGTTACACAGCTGATAGATCGAGCCGTCTAGGCTGAGGAGAATGCTTCCAAACTACTGGATTTCGGAGCCTGCAAAATCACCAATATGCTTCAAGTGGGTAAGCCAGCTCGCATTAGAACAGACATCATAGCTATTCTCAAAAAAGGTTCTAGGCAATACTACATTTATGAAATCCAGTTTAGGGTCTTTATTACATATTGAGATTCTCCCTAGCTAGTGCCAGAGGAACCTTGATTCGAAAAGCTAACAAACTTCACAGATGTTCTTTCACTTAACAAGTGGTAACAAATACTTTAACTAATTAACTCCCATTCTCTGATCTGAGGATATTTGGGTGGATTTGATAAAAACAAACATGAACCAGTCATCGTTTCCGTGTCGGTACACAAACACTTCAAGTTTACCCTCCCTACGGACGGCATTAGCTTTGATCTCGGAGGTAGGCAAGGACTCGAAAAGCTACTTTGCCGTTACACTTCGAAGGACGAATGTTACATAACCGCCTTGAAACATCTTAAACTGGAGCAAAGGCGGTGTCTTCTGTCTGGAGACTATCGTGGTTTGAGATCCATCCACTGCCGGAGTTATTTTATCCACAAAAGAGCATCCAAGAGTTACTGGACTTCGCCGAGAAAACAATTTCACCTCATCTGCCATTTAGATCCACTGCACAGGACATGTTCGCGGATGTTTATTGCTTTTTTTTGTTGTCCTGTCGGTCACATCATCTACTTTTCCTTCTTTCTTCTCTATGCAGAAAATGCTTGTGAGGGAATGCTTGTGAATAGGGCCGACTCTTGACGACCCTACTAAACACTGTCGAGCCGAGAGGTGTTCAACAGAAAATAGACAAGATCCCTGATTCTTTCGCTTTCCCTCATGGCGAACTTCTTTCCTCCGTGGATGATCAGTCCACGCACAGCACAACTCCACTCATTAAATAACGTTGATTTCAACTATTCCGATTTATTCTTGAAACCGATAAAAACTAGTGGGGATTACTTGTGCCTAGTGTCGAGTCGCCGTGAACCTCATAAACATCCGTTGCTTCATATTGAACAGTTCTCTTCGACTGTACAGTCTGGGAGTTGCTTTGCCACAGAGCATATTTCCGCTGTGGAGCGCGCAATCATGGTTGGCGAATGCTTTCCAGACGGGCAGCGTCATGGCTGTTGTTTGTGTTGATCCTACGAATGCTGTTGTTATGGCTTACTGTTGATTACACTCAATTATGTGGAGGGAATAGAGGATGAAGCCAGTTCTGCGACTGTTTTTTTGTGATGAGTCTGAATTCAATTCATCGACTTTTTATGTTCTCTGATTCTCGGAAATTAATGGATTGAGTCATTTCCCTGAAAAATCGTAATAAAAAGCGCTTGATGCTATAGTGGATGTGACCCATGTGGGTATATGGTTCGTAGATTAGTTTCGTGACTTCAGTAGGCCCGCTTGTACCAAACAAATCTTCCATCCATCTATGACCATAAGAACACGCTTACCTGTACTGTATCACCATCGCTTAGCCTTATTGGTTGTCGTGTAAGGCAATTACTTATCCAAGAACAACCTCGGTAATGAAAGGAAGTCGAAAAGGTGGAGCCCATCTGAATAAAAGCCATCATTGCTAGCATATACTTCATCTTATATATATTCTATGTTACCTCTTTGATCGTCAACTTGTTCCACAGAGAGCCATTGACATCTTCATCCGTCTCTGAAGCGAGCATCTATTTCACCATCCAAGAATCATCCATTTTCGGTCTTCCAACCTACCTAACTGTGCCGAAACTTGAGTTCGATAAATTCGTTTTGATTACTCTTGCTTTCATTATTTCAGAAAATGGATTGGGTTTGGTGGACCAGCAATTCGGTGAGCATCATTGTGAACACTATTGGGATCGTTGCCAACTCCTTCCTGCTATTTGTGGTACTAAAAAAGACACCAAAACATTTGACCTCCTACTCCGTTCTGATTTTCGATAATGCACTCTGGGATCTGGTAGCCTGCGTAGGTGGCATTTTTATACTTCTGAGGTATGTGACGTACCCTTGCTTGCACTTTTGCTCAAGCATGCTACAGCAATTCGATTAAATATTTATGAGGTCAACATTCAGCTAAGAGTCATTTCTTTTTTCTTCTAACTGAAATGAATCAAAAGACGGGGAGTCTTATCGAATTAACTGATCAAGAACAACAAAGAGAAGAATGGATCGAAAGTCGGCTCCCACTACAAGCATAAATCATGGCCAAGTAAGCTTCCCAGAGAGTTAGTTGATGGGTGGAAACAACTGCTCGAAGAAAATAAGAACTAGCATACGCGTTGTCCCACAAGCTAAGAAGTCGTCACTGAGGTGCCCCTTTTCGAGCCCCTAATTAGTGCGCTCAACATGTTTGTACCATTCTCGTGCCCGACGACACCCATGTAGGCCCAGATCCTAAAAGGCCCCAGATTCGTTCCAGTGGGAAATATCGGAAACCATTTTTATCGCGAAATGCGACTTCAATCGGAATCATTTCATAATTTGTCACCCTATCTCTGGTAGACAGGGCTCAGCTTAGGTTTACTGCCAAAATGTAGAGCCACTGCTCGGAGAATCCAAAAGACCGATCAACCTTATATCAATCAAAAGTAAAAAGCTCTTTCATGCCTTTTCTTCTTTCCTAATGCTAAGGCTACTTTCAGAGTAGTATCTTTTGGACCCAGCTCGTTCAACTTCTACTATGGGCCGTGCAGACTCTTTGGACCAGGAGTCTGCTTGATTGCGTTAGTGAACGGTTTTAATTATAAGGCTAGATGCACGCTTGTTTTGAAACTCTTTCAATACTTATCATTACGATTTCCAGGCAAGGTCTTATCCTTTCTTGCCATTTTCATGGCATTCATAGTTTATTGGTTTCTTTTGCTTATCGTTACTACGTCTTGATACGTAGTCCACCGCGAACATACAACGTGGCAGCCATTATAATATCGGTTTCTTTGCCGACATTCTTCGTATTTGTGAGTTGTTGCGAAATTTGTAGGAGAGCAACAAGTTTTGGAATAAGACATGAACGTCAGTGATGAAGAAAGCAGCGCCTCTGCAGACGTTAAGCGGCTTGAAATGTACCCCATCCCATTTTAAATGCTTGCAATGTGGATTACGGCTGCGAAAAACTCTGTTAAGAGGGTAAATAGGCAGGTAGAAAACTGTCGAAGTGATGCAGGTAGAAGTCGCTGATGGCCTTCCCAACTGCCCTTCAACATGCGGTGGCTGTTCCATCAGGGCGACGAAGAGGTCTTGTAACACCTCCTTTATAGCTTCCTCTATAGCTTCTGGACGAAGCCTTACTGGTTTAGACGTTAATTGATGATGACCTGGAGCTCGCGCGATCATATGTAGGCGTGTCAGCTCGAGAGTTTCCAGAAAGAGACGTTTTTAGCAAATTGTAAACTCTCTGTTTTCCTAGTTTTGCAGTGAGTATGTTCAAGGAGCCGGCTATATTCCTTATCAATGTTGTCAATAATGAAATCCTTCCATAAACTGATCCCAATTGATGGCTGCCTTGCTTTCGCGGCCTACATCAGCGTAAAACTTTGAAACAACGGAAACGTCAGACAGGCAGAACCATCCGCAAAAGATAATGGTTCTGTTACAGGGAGCAGAGATGGCTTGGGTCGACATGATGAACTCGGACAGTCTTTCACTCTGGTCATTCCATTCTGTTCCATGGGTCCTGATATGAAACTTGTCAGCATTCTTTCGGGGCCGTCATTGACGTGGAAATCATCGAGTGCACATCGACGAGAACACTTACGCCGTCGTCGCCTTCGCTTTCGCATGCTCTGAACAACATCTCCCTTTACTCATGAAAACGGCGTGCAGAGAGTATATACGCTTCCGATGCAAGCGGTCCTGCATTGAAAGATAGATCGTTGTTAGTCCTTCCCTTTTCGCACATTCTGTTATGACCCTTAGATCTCACTGGCCTCCCACGAACGGTCCTACATATGCTGTCTATTGGAGATCTCTCTCAGAATCAGGGGAAAGAGCCTTATTCGTGTTATTGTTTATGATTCTTACAAGAGAGCTGGGTAGTATGCCTGAAGCTGGCCAAGCTACTCCAAGGTGAACGAGTGGGTTAGATATTGTAATCGTCTCCCGTGTAACTTTCCAGTCTCTGGAATGGAATCTTTTGCCTAAGCCACAGCAGGATATCCATCGCACCCGCAGACTCTTCACATAAGTATGCATGGATACACCTGCGGGAAATCAGCAGGTATAAATCGCCCATCACAGCAGAGACAAAAGTCCATCTTCCGAATTCACGTGCGTCTCTGGGCAAGTATCGTTGACTTAATCAGCCGCTGTATTCCCCTGTTTAACCATGAGATCGCGCCGCGCAGCCTCCTTACCAACCAGCTAATGGCCCTTCAGTGAGAGAGAATCCTCACTGAAAGAGGTTAGTTATCCTCACGGCAAGTATCGTTGACTTAATCAGCCGCTGTATTCCCCTGTTTAACCATGAGATCGCGCCGCGCAGCCTCCTTACCAACCAGCTAAAGGCCCTTCAGTGAGAGAGAATCCTCACTGAAAGAGGTTAGTTATCCTCACTATATGAGACTGCTCTGAAGCGATCACCGTTCCAGTAGCGAAAGATTTATTTGACCACAAATCGCAAACCCTTACGTATGATGTACCAGGCTCAGAATCCTATTGTTAATAAATTGTCACTAGAGAAAAACAGAAGTTCCTGTGAATTCATTTCAGAAAAGATGAAGCTCTCTCTCTGAAAGGACTTTGACGATACCTTGAATCGTATGATTGCATTTCCAGATAGCCTATGCTCAATCCGGTGAAGATCAGGCGCGAGTGAAAGCGGACCTCGAGAAGAACCTGGGCTACGATGTAAGCTCTGAGTGTTTTTCCAGTGAAAAGGAATGGGGGTTGACTCTATCCTCATCCTATTTGATGCTGCCACCCCTTCCTATTTATATCACTATTCTTATCCTCAGAAGACTGATCATTTCGAAGATTACCCTTCAAACAACCATGTCTGAACGTACTCGGCAACTTCACAAGCAATTGCTTCGAGTGAGTGTTTTGCTATGCTCAATGACATTTTGATTTAATATTTTCCCTTTGCATTCGAGGCTATTATGAGCGTTCAAAAATTGAAAATTTGACGGACCTTCTTCTCTTGTGTTTCGAAGAATAGAAATCGAGTCATGAGCAATTCCTCCAACCAAGCAACAACCCTACTGAGACCTTCCAGATCGCCTAGCTCATCACGCTGGCGCTGGACCATTTCAAAAGGGAAGGGGTATTCAGAACACTGTGCTATTCAGAACAAGGGTTCTAGAAAGTATTCAAGAGGGGTTGTGCTAGAATATTGAGATATATAAGGGGTAATTAGAACATTGTCATTTGTGTGCTAGACCGTTGGCCTACAGTAAGCCAAAAATGCCAAAAATCGGTTCCCGCTATCGCCATGTATCACGACTAATTGTTTGAATTTTTTACATATGTGCTCCATAGTGTTGGGATTTTTGGATAAACCTTTTTGTGTGGCATACATTTTATGCAATCTTTGAGCCCTTACCACCCCTTATCTCGGTCGTTTTCAGAACAGCGTTATATATGGCATACATATTATTTTGAGCCACAGGCCAGGATTTGATTTTGGGGAAATATTCTAGAGCCATATTCATTGTGACTTGTGCCTTTGTGGTCTAGGGTTGTGCTATTGGCTTGCATACAACCTAATCAAAAAATTATATGGTGTTTTACACTCTAATTGATGCATGATGAGCCACTTCGCTCAGATGGACTCAATAGTATGCTGTGATACATTTTGGGGTACTTCACGACTCGATTT